TGACGTGACATACTCAATGCAGCTAAAAAACTTGCCTGGGGACACTGCTCAGGCTTGGGAAACAACTGGATGTCACCAAGGAACCCTTGTGTTTTAGTACTGTCTTCTCTTTTGCTCTTGTCAACTTAAAATCCATAGCTCTCATCTTGATAAGAGTAAGAGACAGTTTATTCTGGAGCCATTACGAGCAAGCATGGCCTCGGAACACAGATTTACCCAAATTCCAAAATTACCTTAATTCTATGGTTTAAAGACTAAAGAAAGCCATAAATCAAGGCAAGTTTAACATACATTGGCAGGTACACCAGAGAGCTAGGTGCATTGAGATAAAGGGAGCTGCCTAGGATGCCAACTGATGAGAGTTCTGCAAAGTTAATGGCTTCTAAGAGGTTTTTATTTACTCTCATGAGGAATTAATTCAGATACAGAATGGGACAAAAAAAAAAAAAAATAGATGGCTGTTCCAGAAGCTAAAACTATGCCCAAGATAAGTAATTCACCTCTGAACCTACAAAGTTCCAATCTCTCCACTGTGCTGAAATTCCAACTGGTCCACCAGTCTCTGCAGACACAGAAACTCCTTCTGGAGGTTTTTGTTTACAGCCAGACACAGTTTCTCTTCGGGGATTTTCCCTCACACTCTCACACCATGCAATTTGCCATTTCACAGATGTAAATGGGCACATTAACCTCTCGATGATGTCAGAATTTATACATCCATGAACTAGGTCCATTTTGTTGGCGGTAATCCAGTGATTAGACCCAATTTCACTTGATAATTTGGCCACTGGAGATCAAGATTGTTTTATTACAAGCTAAATTACTAATATTTACTCTCAGATCGCACATCCCACTTCCCACAATGATGTAAAGGTCAAAGAATGGCTACAAAAAGAATAAAGAGTTTTCATGATCCACAGAAGCTCTGAGAACTTTAGAGCAGGCTCAGAGCTACTGGAGAAAGAGTTATCCAGGGCAGTTCCTGGTCAAAAAGACCTTTGGAGGGTCAGTTTGTAGTGGGCTGTTATTTGGGGGCAGGGCAAAGTGTCCTCAAGCTGGAACAAGGGGATAGAGGCAGCAATTCATCATTGTGATAACTGTCCTGGATAAGGCTCTCAAGTGACCAGGTGACAGACAAGTCAGTGTCCCCTATGACTCAGTCTTAGGCACTCCTCTTATAGCCATAAGAGAGAGATTTTATCTGGTGTGTTTAGTCATTCAGTGAGCCTGGCTGTTCAGATAGTGATCACGTCTTCCCAGTGTATTGCCATGTGTGCATGGGAGTAATTTTTTTACTTGTATGAATAAACTCGTACCTTGTGCCTGTGGTGTGTTCCAGACATGTGGCAACCATTTATTTACACAGTCAGAATGCACAGTCACCCTAACTCTGCATTTACACTCAAAGTAGAACCAGGGCAAGGGCACAGCCCAAAGCCACTGTCCCACAATATAAAACTTAGGACAAGGCAGCAGCTCATAACAGGAAGTAGCTTGGTCTCTCGGCTTGTCTTATTAAAAGAAAACCCAGGACAAGAGATCTGTATGTAGACATGGTGTCTTCATTATTTCATTAACTAGATGCTGTAGTTGCACCTACATTTTTTAATCTTTATCTGAAGAAATACAGATGTCTGGCTAAGCACTGGGAAGCCATCCTTTCAAAATGTTTGTCAGAGTTCATCAAACTAACCACATTTTTCAAATCAGAAAAGAAAGCAAAGTGTATGGGAATATGAAGTGAATTTTAAAGTTGTAACCAAGACTATTCACACTCAAAATAAAATTAAATTAATTAAAAGTTGCAGAGGTGTTTTGTATTTCATCTATACATTACTATGAATATGCACATCAAAAATCTTGTAAATTAGATTGTTATTGAATTTGAATTTATGTGATCAGTTATCACTGCAACACTTCATTTAATGTTATTGAAATCAGTCTGTTTTATGATAATCGCTGCATTAATTCACCCAACAAATAGGCTATTTATTTTTATCTTATGCTAAGTTGGCTGGTGCCACTGTCTTTACTCTCTTAGAAGATTTATTGGAGAGAAACAGATACAGCCAGACACAAATAAATACAAATAAATGGTAACTTGTTCAGATTTAAATGTGTATATAAGGTTTTGTGTTTGAGAAAAGGAAACAGGTATTAATGGGCTGAAGAGATGGATCAGAGGTTAATAAGAGCATTGACTGCAAAGGACCCAGGTTCAGTTCCCAACACCAACACGGTGGCTCAAAACCATCTGTAAGTCTAATTCCAAGTGATTCATTACCCCCTCCTGGCCTCCACAGGCTCCTGCATGCACATGGTACACATAAACTCACAGTTACATAAACATAATATATTCTCTCTTCAGCAAAATATACAAAATATGTAAATACAATTTGAGTTTTATGCTATTTCTGTTCCTCAACAAACTGCTAGAAACCATTTCAACTTTATTCTAATTTCCAGTTTAATTTAACATTTTTTTAATTTTTATTTTACATATCGATCCCAGTTCCCTCTCCCTCCCTTCCTCCCTCTCTCCCTCCCTCTTTTTCTCTCTCTCCTCCTCACATCCACCCGACCACCCTCCCTTCCTATCCCCCCCCACTCCACATGTAGGGGTGGTCATGTAAGTCTGTCAAGTCATTTGAAGTAGGGACTAGGATTTCTCTCCTGTCTCTAGGTTAAAGGGGTATCACTCCATGGGGGATGTGTCCACAAGGTCCTTTTGTTCACCAGGAATACATCCTGAGGTCCCTTAGACTGCTCAGACCTTCTAGCTGAGACCCATGTTCAGGGGGTCCGAGTCAGTCCCATGCTGGATTCCCAGCTATCAGCCTGGGGACCCAGTAGTTCCTCCTTGTTCAGGTCAGCTGTCTCTGTGTGTTTCTGCAATCTGGTCTTGTCCTCTCTCTCTCTGCATCGACTCAGTGTTCAGTTGTGGGTGTTTGTTTCTGTTTACAACAGGTACTAGATGAGGGCTCCATGATGGTGGAAAAGTTAGTCATTGATCTCATTATCAGGATAGGGCATTTATGGTAGCCTTTCCACTGTGGCTCAAATTATTAGTTGGAGTCAGTCTTGTAGGTCTCTGTACATTTCTTTAGGTTCAGTTTTCTCTTCAATCCTATAATGGCTCCCTCTTTTATGCCTCTCTCTCTCTCTCTCTCTCTCTGTCTCTCTCTCTCTCTTCTGTCTTCTATTCCTCCCCTGACTCAAATCTTCCTAGACCTAGAGCAAAGGATGACTAGCCTATAACTCACACCGCCAGTGGAACTAGGATACAAGGTGGATTCTAACAGATTCCTATAAGGTCCCTCACAGAAGGGGGAAGGGACAAGTTCTCCAGAGCACATGGGGAGTGAGGGTGGGGCAGTGAGTGGAGAGGAAACTAGGAGAAAGAGAAGGGGAGGAGAGGAAAGCATGAGGGACTAGGAAGATGTTATTTATTTTAAGTGCTGTAATTTTTAGTCAGTGAAAGTTCGGTTTAGGACCACATTACCTGCAAGCAATGTGAAATCTTATAAAAGTATGCCCTCAGAAGGTTTGCTGTAGGGCAGGCAGCTCCATAAGACCACCTTTGGACTCAAGAAACTCAACCTCTTTTCATAATACCCAACAGGTGCGCATATTATCCTTTGTTTGCCTTCGCCATGGTCCAATTTTTACACAGAGATTTTAATAGAACAAGTTATTCTCATATCTTTTTAGCTCCAGAATGCTGGATCTGTATCAGTAAGCTTTTAATCACCCCAGGTAATGGGATATAACTTCAAGTGAAGGTAATTTATGGGATCTGAGTTTCTCTTCTCTTTTTTTTCTTTAATAATAAAAATTGCATTATTGTAATGACATAAACAAAATTACCACACAGCTATATCCAAACACTGAATTTCTCCCACCCCACAGCCCCCCACCGTTTTGGGGTGGGCTGATACAGGGTTTATCTGTGTCACCCTGGCCATCTTGGAACTCACTCTATAGGTCATGCTGGCCTCCATCTCAGGATTCATCTGCCTCTCTAGTGCTGGGATTAAAGGCTTGAATGTCTTAAAATTAGCATCATTGGACTTCATAATCAAATAGTCAAAGGTTGAGAAGGGGTAAAAAAATATCTACCTCTTTTATTAGTGACATCCTCTATGTCACTAAAGTTCCCAAGTACTTTTACAAACTAAGCTGGCCTGCTGGTGTTTTGACCAAGCATCTTTCAGATATTTTTCAAGCACCACCAAAGAAAGCATAGATGGAAGAGAGGAAGAAAAGAAAGAACAGGGGGGGAAGAAGAAATAAAGATCATAGAGAAATAATTTGGCAATCTAGAAAGAAAGATGCACTATATTAGTCTGTTACCTATATGTAAGTTAATGACTGATGTGTGATTCCCAGTGTTCAAGGGCAAAGCCAGTGATGAGTAACAGGACTCATCATTATCTTTTTGCAAAATGGCTTGGGACACTGGGCACACCTTTTCCATACATAATTCTATTCCAGTAATAACTATATAAAGAGAGGAAGTCAAAAATTGGAACACCTAGATGAAGAATCACACTGGAATATTTAAAGATGCTTTCTTATTTATAAGGAGCTCCAAAGGAAAGTTGGGGGGTGCCATGCCTTCAATTTGCAGATCCAACAAAGATGAATTAGGGTTCTGAGAAAGCATTAACTGGTTATTAGTTATCGTTATACTGCAGTAGACTTGGCATTCTCATGAGCATACTACAGAGAACGCTATGTTCCTTGTCAGTGAATAAATGCAGTGTGATATTGGACAAAGTCTACTGCTGATCCATTGATGAAGCTTGAGGATTCATTTTCTGCATCTGAATCATGTTCTCTGTTCTGATTTTACTGGAGGAGAAATCACAATGCTTTTGTTGATTTTGTTTATGTTGCAAAGGTCACCATGCTTCTGATAAGGTATTCTTTGCAATCAGGTGAGTAATTAGAAAAGACCAGTGATGAGAACTCTAATTGTGTGACTGTCATTTCCTTAGGAAGCTCATCGAGACTCACCTGAAGACCATCCCCAGTCTTGCATTTTCAAATCTGCCCAATATTTCCAGGATGTAAGTAATTATTTTAATATACAGAGAACTTTGCTCTTGTGGCGTACTTTCTAAATGTTCTGTCAAAAAAAGCAATTTCTATTGTACTTGCATAAGTCAATGATATCTGCATTTTTTTGAATTTGTATTTGAAATTTTTATTTATAGAGTATTTACCTGCTTAGTTACATCTCTACCTTTTGATACCTTTGGGCCCTTTTAAATCTAATGGAAATTTCAATTCATTTGGTCATGTCAAATTCACCATTTTTGTGCATTTTAGTATATCCTAGGATGTGACAGAACCTTAGCCGAGAATTCCCAGACATTTATATGTCTCTCTCTTACCCATCCATCTTAGATTTTTATTGATTCCCTACCACTGCTAGTATAATACCAACATTTACATTTTGTCCCAAATGCAGCCAATCATTTCAGATTTCTCTCACTTAAAAACAATTCTAAGGCTTAAAAACAGAGGTGTGGTCTGCAGACGATGAGAAAAGGAATGTGCACGGTAGGCTGACAATCACTGTGTGTGTAGATTTATACCCATTAGTAATTAACTCGGAGTCACCAATAATACAGCAGTGCCCATTAAGAAAAGAAATTAAAGTGCTTCTTCCTAAAAACATTTAACCAAGAACAAGTCCACATTTGAATGTTCCCCTTCAGATCCCCTGTGTCTGCCATCTGTCATCTGTTGCTTGAGTCTGAATCTGTGCCTGCTTGAAAGCTGTCTTAATCTGTTCCTGTGTCTTTGTCTTCCATCTGTGTGCGTCCGTGTGTCTGCCCTCCTCCCACAAAGCACTCTGCTCTGCATCTATTAGAAAACACAGAAATCATCAGCACTTTACAGAAATCTTGAACACAGTTTTACTAGGGTCAAATCACTAACTCCAACTGATCCTAGCTGACCCAGACAACAAACAGTTCTCAAACAATAAAAACACCATTTGTCAACCAATATCCAAAATGGATGCTTTTAACTTTTAGGGTAGGTTTTAGGAAGTTGCTTTTGGCTTTGATATTTGCTACTTTCAGCACATAATGCACATGTGTTATTCTGGGTTGGGGCATAAAAGAGTCTATAACTTAAGATGACTACTATGGATTATCTTGGGTTGCAAAAGTTGGCTACATGGGAAACGCAAGGCAAGGTAAGTTTGGTTGTTGCCTTGTTCTCTTAAAAGCAGGTGGAATGGGCTGAAGACACAGTATGCTATCGGTCTTAAATCTCAAGTGCTCTCCAGTTATGTTATCACTTGGTTGTGATGTCCAGCCAAAATTCCAGTGTCTTAGAATGTAAGAGATATTTTTGGAGTTTTCCATTGCCATAGTCTGCACACGAAATGAGTGAGGTATCTGTCCCAGTTGGTGGCACTTCATGTTAACTCAAGCACACCCCATAACGCCAGGAGCGATCTGAACAATTTATTCCACTTATGGCCTGTGTTGGTGATCTGTTGCATCATTTCATTGATTTTCAGCTAGAATCAACCCTGACATTTGACTTTGCCAAAATCAAAGAGGACAATGCTACTGGTCTCTAGAGGGTGGAGGTAGACGACATGGGAGACATCTTTCCCTGGCCTGTATGGTCACAGTAAAGAGTTATCTAGGACAAAATGTCAATGGCCCTGAGGCCAAGAGGCCATTTTAATTGAACTTGCATGCAGTTGCTAATAAGCCTTTCTTTTTTTTTTTTTTTTTGCATTCTTGCTACACAAACCAAAATAAAACAAGGCTGTACAGATGGCTCAGGTGCTAAGAGCATTCATTGTTCATACAGAGCACCCAGGTTCAGTTTCCAGCACCCACATGGCACTTTGCAACTGTCTATACAGTTCTGTAATATTGGATGACCTCTTCAGGCAAGGGGTGCATACATACATACATACATACATGCATACATACATACATGTAAGCAAACATCATATACATAAGATAAAAATAAATATTTTAAAATATTATTTAAAGCTGAAACAATATTATTAACCCTTCCTTAACCCTCTTCTTTTCTCACCCTGGCTACTATCCCTCAGTTTCCTTTCCCAGAGTTTCATTTTTTTTTTTTTTTTTTATCATGGCTAGTTCTTCTGCATGTATTGTATTCTAATTCTCTACCCTCTTTGAGTCAACGCTTCTTTCTTTTTTTGGCTTTGCTCTCCTCTACTACAGCTATTCATAACAATTATTGAAGGTCTCAACTCCCTCCTACATTCAAGCCTGCATCTAGAACATCACTCTGATGTCCCACAATTACTTCAAATTCACTCTATCCAAATTAAGTGGGCTGCCATTCTCTGTTTCTTCTCTTTCTAATAGCATGGTAATTCAGCATCTTGTGAGCTACAAGCCTCGACTCCCCTTTAGCTTCTTCATTCGCCCTTGTATCCCATAAACAACTATGTGTCTGGTGCCTCCGCTTTGGTATCCAAGTAGGAAGAAGGGGCTGAGGAAAGTTAGAAGAACAGCATCTCACCTATCCTCCATGCTAGCTACCCAAATGTAGAAGGGAATCTCATTATGAAACGGGGAAATCTGAGCCTTCTGAGGAATTAAAATAAGTCCATTCAGGCTTGAATGTCAGCTGCAGGGAAGACCAATAAATAAATCAAAAATAGAAACACAGTTAAAAAAAACATCAATTTAAGGTTACAGCTGTGCATTAGCTTAGGTGGTAAAAATTGATTACACAGAAAATCCAAGGCAAGTAAGGTTGGTTGTTCCATTGTTCTCTTGCAAGCAGGTTAAACAAATACACAGCAGGCTAGCAGTCTCGTCTTAATTGAGTTCAAGGTGTGTTGTTAACTTTGGTTGTGAGGTCCAGCAAAAGTTCCAATCTCTTAGCATGTAGGAGACATTTTCAGAACAGTGCATCATCACAGTAGGCAGTACCCTCTGAAACACCCCATGAGGGGAATAAGATGTCTCTCTTTAATTCGTTGAAACTTTGTCTCTATTCCCAAGACCTCTATTAAAAAATGTTTCTACTTTGACACTTTCTGGTTTTGCTATTTTGAATAATGCATTCACCAATCTATTTGTTTGTGTTTGCTGAACATATGTTTATTGAGTCTGCTTAATGATAAGAACTATAAAGGCATCATAATTCAGTGGTGAAAGCCATTAGATAATTTACAGTTTTATAATAAGATATAAATCAAATGGTTCCCAGATAATTAGGAAGATGCACTGTGATTATCCATGAAAGATATGTTCATAGTGCTATGAAAGTGTACAGTGGTAACTTTAGCCTCCTCTGGAAGCTGGTAAAAAGCTTCTGAATAAAATGGCATTTGAGGCCTGCAAATGAATAGAACATAAACTATTGGAAAATTTTAGACATACTGGGATCTGGGGGAGGTGGATGTTGTTAGAAACTACACATATGGTTTGCATGATCCATGATTTGGAAAGGCCTTAACAAAGAAATTATTAAAAAAAAAAAAAGTATGTTTGAAATCCAGGTGTGATGGTACGTATTTATAAATCCCAGCACCTTGGAGGTAGAAATGGATTGATATCTGTGGATAACTGGCCAGCCAGAATAGTCTACTTAGGTGTCCCATCCCAATGAGAGGCCTTGTCTGTGGAAAAAATGTAGATGGCATCCTGGGTTATGACACCCAAGGTTTCCTCTAGCTTACACACACACACACACACACACACACACACACACACACACACACACACTTCTTCACCTGCATACACATGCACTTACACACATGTGAACACATGTATATATGTACATAAAAATAGTGTGCTCATATCACAGACACTTGCACATCAATGTTTATTATAGCCCCTCTCATGTTACTGAAATTATGGAACCAACCTGGGTATCCATCAATAGGAACAGATAAGAAAATGGTGTTTGTAGATGCAATGGAATTTGTTTCTGCCGTAAGGAATGGAAGGTTCAGGCAACCGAAGGCTAAGGCAATGGAAGGTTAATTCACCTTGTTGAGTGAATTAAGGCAGTCTCACATAGACATACTGCAAGTGTTCTCCCATTTATAGGTCCTATACTTTATAGATACAGAAAGTCACATACACACAGATGACATGCAGATGGAAGCAATACTGTCCAGGGGAGCAAAGAGGACTAATGGGAAAGGGGTGGAGCAGGAGGAGATAGGGCCGTGAAATACAGGGGGGATATGCTGAGAGCACATTATATACTTGCACTATAATGGCACTATAATGGTGATAAAAAAGAAACTAGAATGTTTGGGGTTCGTTGCTAACTTTCCACTTTGTCTTGTTTTTTACAATGTCCAGCTATTTATCTATAGATGCAACTCTGCAGCGGTTGGAACCACACTCTTTCTACAATTTGAGTAAAATGACTCACATGTAAGTACAAGGAAAAGTACAGAATAGAGCCCAACCACAACCACCGTTAAAAAATATTATTTTACATTTGTTTATTTTACTTTTGCGGTGTCAGGTTGCCAAAATATGCATGTGTAGGTCAGAAGACAACTTGCAGAAGTCCGTTCTTGACTTTCACCACGTGGGGTTTGGGGATAGAACTCAGGTCGTCGGACTTGGTAGCAAGTGCCCTTATACACTGAGGATCTCACCAAACCCACAAAGGAAGTCCTTGAGAATTTGTCAGCATCAGACTCTAAGGGAGAGCACTGCTACAGCGAATGATGAGACATATATTCTGTACAGAAGAAAATGAACAGCAGCAGAGGGGGTGAATATATAGGCAAATATACATGGATTTTGACTGCACTAAACAAAACACAGTGGAATCTAAAACACAGGCAACCCATGCTCTGTGCAGTCTCCTGGAGTCCTAAAAATGTGCAAACTGGAACTGGGCAAAGAAACCCAGCTATTAATGAGAAAAGTTTGAGTTCTTTGTGACATTTAAATTTTTTGTCAAAACATTAAAATTTGTCTTACTATTGCAAACAAAAGGAAAAGATAGTAAATCCAATATGGCTTGAATGCACAATTTTAAGCTTAAAAAATTTTAGTATTTTATTGGGTTGTAAAAGCTTATTAGGAAGTTTAAAATGTACTTGCCCATTTCTGCCTTTGTTATACAAGTTACAAGAAGGTATCTTTCTAATGTCTATGCAAAAACTCTTGGTCAGGATGCTAACACTCAGTCCTCTTTCTTTTGATGCAATAAACTATCTCCAAGAATTTCTTTAATGTGGTTGTGTTTTGGTTTTGAGGGCTTTTTTGAGGAGATTGGTGGAGGTTAGGAAGTTTTTGGCGGTAGGTTTGGTTTGGTTTGGCTTGGTTTGGTTTAGTTGGTTTGGTTTAGGATTTTGAGACCAAGTCTCATTCTGTAACCCAAGCTAGCCTGAAACTTACACCAATCCTCCTACCTCAATCTGCTAAAGGTTGAGTTTATAGGCATAAACCACTGTGCCTTGCTTTAAGGTAAAGCTGGGGGTTGGGGGAGGAGTTGAAATAGGGTTTCACCATGTAATCCAGTCTGGTCAAGAACTATAGGCTGGTCCTGAGCATATGTTCTTCCTGCATCAGCCTCCAAGTCCTGGGATTACAGCCACATGCCACAACTAAGCCCTGCATTTTTATCTCTGTTCATCAGTTCTCTCTTTCAATTAACTAAGAAACTCACAGGCAGCACACTGTATTCTTTATTGTTTGTGAGTAAACTAAATTATGATGACAATTACCAGTGATTGAAACAGTGAATTGATTGGTCACCTACTATGATTCCCATCTATTCTGTTATCTACTCAATGATGTGTGGTGAAGACTTGGCAACAAAAAGCTTATACTTTATTAGCTTAATTCCGCTATCATCCTAGGATAACTACATTTGAACTGTTACTAGGGCTAGTTGTTGAACTAGATCACAGTAACCCATCTCTAACCATACAAGCACAATGCAAAACAAGGAATTCCTCTATACACAGAATTCAAATACATGGTATCAAAAAAAGAATGGGGATGTTATGAATGATGTTAAATTGTTCTAGAGTCTTCAAATTAGCTGAGAAGTGCCTACCCTAGTTGCTTCTTTGTTGCTATGATAAAACACTATCCAAAATCAACTCAGGGGAGAATAGGGTTTATTTGGCTTACAGGTTACAATCCAGTATTGAAAGATAACAAGGCAGGAGCCTGGAGACAGGAACAGAAACCACAGAGGAATGTTCCTTTCTAGTTTACTCACCATGACTTTCTCGCCTACCTCTATTACACAGCCCAGACCCATCTGCAGAGAGATGGCACTGTTTACAGGGCAGGGCCCTTCCAATTAAAAATATGCACCCCCACATGCCCATAGGCAAATCTGACGGAGACAATTCCTTAGTCAAGATTCCCTCTTCCCAAGTTTGTCTAGGTTTGTGTCAAGTTGACAGAAACTAGCTAGCACAATGGCAACAGTTCTAACTTTATATCAGACTTTTATAATAAAGTTATAGTCCATGGGAAAGAGACTCAAGTAATTGTAGAAGAATGGATAACTAACAAGCTGATATTTGAAGGCACCAAAGAATTAACTAATGGTTGTTTTAAAAGGCAAGAAATGAAAAGAAAGAATTGCCTGAACAAATAAGTAAATTCGATCCCAAATAGTCATTGCATTACATGCAAAATAATGGTAAAAACAATACCAACTCAATTCTAATTAAAATACAAAGATTTTCCTTACTGTGCAACTTTAAAATTCTATTTGTATTGCTTTCAAGAGGCATATTTAAATGCAATACAGAATGGTTGACTGTTGATCTGCATCACCGAATAACTAAGGTGGGGGAAAAAAAGTAGAACAATAAAGGAAATCAGTAACTAGGGAGCTGCTTAATAGCACAGGGGTCTGTGCCTTCATTTCTCCTCCTTTTGTTCCTCTGTCCCCTCCTTAGGCCTTCTCTCCTCTACTGCTTTTCCATATTGTTCCTGAAGTTCTTGAGGATACATGTCAGCCAAATTGTTGCAAGCAAGCAAGCCACTTTCTCTTTCTCTGTTCCTGGCCTCACTAAGGAACCGAGAAACACTCTAGCACTTAGACTATGTGCATTGAGTGCGTGTTTAATTATTGATCTAAACACTGTCATTAATGTTACACTTTCATCTAAACGTGTACTTTATTTCAAATGAAGGGGTAATAAGCAATAATGTCTTAGTTAAGTATCTTTTGTTGTGGTGATGATTTTCTTGAAATATTATCCAGAGGAGGAAAACAATAATGGGAGGAGGAAGGAAGGAAGAAGAAGAAGAGAGAGAGAGAGAGAGAGAGAGAGAGAGAGAGAGAGAGAGAGAGAGAGAGAGAGGAGAGAGAGAGAAGGAGATGGGAGAAACAAGGGGTAGGGGTGGATGAACAGGAAACCAGCACAGACTCCAGGCAGTTCCTTGGGAATCCAGGCTACTGAAAGCAATGCCATCCTAAGATTTCCTCCGAACTCAGCCCGCAGGCCTTGTCCACTCCACCCTGCTGTGCTGGACCCAGTTGTGTTTCTTCGTTAGTGTCCTGGCTTTCGTGAAGTATAGGCATTTTCCCGTGTTCTTGGACTGTAATCGATCACTTCCAAACTGTTTGATTCAAACTCACCTTCACAGGGGAGATCTTACTCCATTCTGTACTTTCACTGTCTCCGGTGAGAGATTCTTAGTGCTTCCCGTCTGCCCTCCTTCCCTTCTGTCTGCCAAAGGGCTGTGCTGGTTGTATTTTACAGTGCCGCCTGTCTAACCTCTTTTGTGTTTCCCCTTACTCCTTGCCACACCCCCAACCCGGACTCCTCACTTCTCTCGACTGGCAACTGGCAACCTTACTTGCCTGCATGGCTCGTTGCCCTTTTGTCCTCACGTGGGCTGCACTACCTTTCATTGTGACTCTCTGGTGCCACTCACTCAAGTTCACTTGTTTAAATAATTGCCTTTCATAAAGCAATTTTCTAGGCTGCAAACCATACCTAGACAATTTTCAAACTTCTTTGTTTCCCTTTTGTTTGTCTTTGGTAACAACTCAAGCCCTCTCCCCAAATGCTAAGTTCTGGCAAGTCTGCCACTTGTCTTAGAAAAAGAGAGAAAACTACCTTGTCTAAGGCAGGATTGTCATGTGAAAGTGGAGTAGGATGGCCAGTGGTTTCACTCTGTCTAGGATAGAGGGAATCCCAAAGACTCATGACTTTCAATTTTAAAGCAATGATAAATATAAAGGTAAGTAGGGTCTTGGTCGGGTAGAAATCATAATTTAGTACTTTTTTATTTGTTTGTTTGTTTTTATTTTCTGAGGCAGGATTTCCTCTGTGTAACAGTCCTAGCTGTCCTGGAATTAGATCTGTAGACCAGACTGGCCTTGAACACACAGAGATCACCCTGCTTCTATCTCCCAAGTGCTAGAACTAAAAGCATTGTACTACCACCACCCGAATTAATTTAATACTAGGTTCGTGGACACAGCTAAGACCTTTAGAATGTAAGTGGTTAGCACTTATACTTCAAATGTGGATGGGCCTTTTTGCAGAAAATCCAAGCACAGCATTAAATTATTTGTCTGGATAAGAATTTCCTGGAGCAATGCAGTTATTTAATGCATAGAATGGACCAGTAAGGTCATGTTCTTACAGTGGGAGAGGGGAAGTGAACAGTTTCTGCTCTCAGCCTCCTTCCTCTTTCTTTCAAGGTATGCTTCACAGTCATTGTCTTTACAGAACAACTTTCAAATATGGTTTGCAAGGACATTGCAATACCTTTGTCCCTAAGTGTGGAAATAACCATAATAAAAACATTATTTGCAGAAAGCTTTCAACTGTAGGAGACATCCAATTCCTCACAAGAGAGCCTGTTGAAGAAAGAAGTGTGCTCTCGTCGTCCCTAGTCACAGATAAGGAAACTATGACTCAAAGGGATCAAGGACCTTATCCAAAGTTATATGGCCAGAAATGGCAGAGTCAAAATTCTATCACCGATCTGGCTATTCAGCAGTAAGAGGAGCAAACTAAAGGTCTGTGATGCAATGTGCATGGACCTAATCTCACAGACATCAAGCTAAATAAAAGAAGTAAAACACAACAGATCACTTGCTATATGCATTCATTTATTGGAAAAGTCCACATAAGACAAAGTTGTAGCAATATTTTAGAGCAGGGTCTGGGATGTAACTCAGTGGTTTAGCAAGTGCTTTCCAGGCACAGAGCCTTTGGTTTGATCCCAAGCACTAATAAAGTGGGGAGAGGAGGAAAGGGGAGGGGAGGGAGGAAAGGGTATCTGGCAGAAAGGAGAAACTGAGATAAACTAAAAATACCCACATGACAAATGTTGTCTATAAATGTTTGTTTTCATTTAAATGGATGTGGTTATATAAAATAAATAAATAAATAAAATTAAAAAATTAATGTCCTTGCTATTAAAATAATTGCTTAAATGTAAAAAATAAATACATAAAAATGCCCACATGATACATTTGTCATTTATAGTTATGTGTGTTCTAAAACTGAATTGTTATGATGGTCAATCCTATAAATTTAACAAAAAAAAAATCACTGAACCATGTACCTACAATGTGTGAATTCTGTGGAATAAACAAAAATATCCCTAATCTCATGGGAAATAAGATCCACTGGAACAAAGTATTGGTTGATGGATGTTTATTCGGGGAGAAATCACTTACACCAGAAACAGATGACTGCCTTGAGTTCCCACTGCAAGCATGCCACCTGGATGCTCTCCACAACCCAACCAGCAAGCAAGAGCACGAGCTGGGGTCCGGGATCCCAGTCCTAGCCTCCCGCAGATCACATCCACACCTGTGTCCACGCAGCAATGGACGTGGTCAGTGCAACAGGTGTGGGCGGGGTGGATATCTCACTACACTCCCTGAACAAAGACTTTTAAGAATTACAAAGACCAGATTCCAAGTTTTCCAAATAATGGCATGGATGCCTGGACACAATATTCTTAGTGGCCAAGCCTCAGGGGCCATCTACAGAAAGAAAGGCCATGGTAGGTTCTTACTGACTTTCCTTGTTAGCATAGGAAGTGCTGTGAACCTCTTCTAACCAATCTATGTGTGCCAAATTTTTGACTTTACTAGTGACGGTCCATGTTCAACAGTTGTTATAACACTTATGTTAACTATATATTCTTGACCAGTGATTTATATAAGTTACAAACCCATACAATATCACAACACATAGGCTGAAGTCTTAAATTGTTGGCAACATAAAATAAACCAAAGCAAGCCATTTAGGTTTACTCTGTCCCTTTCACCTAAAATTGCTATTAACAGACTCTTGACCCTTTTTGCAAGGCCATTCTGTGTCATGATTTAACTTGCCACTCTAAGTGCTCGTTGTCATGGCAACATCACTGGCTCTTGTTAATAAATATAAAGATATCTGTCCTCAACTGCTAGTCAAACCACTAAAGGGGTGTTTTTCCTCCTAAAATCTAAAAAGAAAGTGGGGAAGATAAGAAACAACAAACTAACAAACAAAGCTTTGAGACTACAGTTAAGAAAAAGGTAATCCATAATTCAAATTAACTGAGACCAAGTCCATGAGGACATTCATGTCCTGTGACAACTAGGAAACTAGGAATCTGTGGCTAATGACATGTAGTCCCCTGTTCCACCATATAAATCTAGCCTAGTCTTTTCATGAACTTTTGTTAAACTTGATTTATCTTTAATAACAACAGGAAGGGATGTATTTTATTAACAGTGCTCTTGTAACTCTTGTAGAGAAATCCGGAACACCAGAAGCCTAACTTATATAGACCCTGATGCCTTAACAGAGCTCCCCTTGCTCAAGTTCCTGTAAGTGTTGACTCATTCCTTATCATTGTGTGGGGGTTGGTAGGAGGATGTGGGGATGGGAGTGTTTTAGAGCTATGATGCTGTTGTCTATCAAGAACCTCCCTAAGATGATGTTGTCTAACATTTTAATGGTGTATGGCACAGTTAGATCATTTCTTGTGACTTTCACCCTTTCCCATTGGGCAAAGTACCAGATGAAACAGCTCACATGTTTAAAGCCTATCTCAAAAAATCAGCATACAGTTTTGGGACCTGCTCCAAGAGACATGAGAACAAAAACAGTAAAATATATACATAGTCTTTGAGTGTGGATAAAACAAAACAAAATCCCGAGAGCCAACTGGTCAATTTTATTTAGAAGCAACAATTTTATATTTATTGACAAAAGAAATATTAGAAATTTCAAAAAGCAAAACCGTAATACAGAAGTGACACACTTCTGCTTGGCTTTGGCAATGGCAGTGACTTACGAGCTAGCTATAAGCTCCATCAAGGCAGGGTGCATTTTGGTTCTCTTTCATCCTTGCTCCCTATCACACAGTGGGTACTCCAGAAAAAATATCTTAAATGGGTGTGTGAACTTTCCCAAGGTCCTCGAGACACTAGCTAGAGGAACCTCCTTTCCTGTTTAAAGGCAATTTTAAAAAGTAGAAAACCAAACAGTATAACGAAAATAAAAATCAACCTTAATCCCTGTGCCTAGAAACAATCACTATTTTATTAGTTCACTCCCTTCCAGACTTTTAAAATAAGAGTATATCTCACAGATATTTCAGGAGGTAAATCTTTAAGGCTAGATAGAAGTTATTCAGGAAATATAGGGACAGTGTTAGAAGGTCCATGAGAGGGTAGAGTACCATGATAAGGATAGAAACACGAAACCACATGGCTCTCTTGGGAGAACTGGAAACAGCCCCTGGTTGAAGGGGTGGGAGTGGGAGATTCCAGGAGTAATGGCATGAGGCATTGAGTGGAGGACCTGGGATTTACCTCATAAATTCATGATTTTTGGCCATTACAGTATACATGCTAGGTGTTGGTTTTCTTACCTAAACTTTCATTTCTCCTTTTTTAATATAGTGGCATTTTCAACACTGGACTTAGAATATTCCCTGACCTGACAAAAATTTATTCCACTGATGTATTCTTTATACTGTAAGTATGATCAACATGCACATTTAGTATATTTTGTTTGCCCCCTGACAGCTAGGATGCAGTCTTGGGAACTGGTAGAAGCCAGGAAAAGCAATGGATTCCAAGAGAAAGCAGAAAGCAGGGCAGCTATGCTGAAGGATGGAGTGAAGCACCATCGAGGAATGGCCATTGAGTTCACAGACTGTGGGCCACTGATGATGCTGACAAGAATGTTCTTTGTAGGATGATGGGGATAGGTTGGAATGGGTTTGTGCTGGCTAGTTTCATGTCAACTTGACACAAGCTAAAGTCATCCAAGAGGAGGGAACCTCAATTAAGAAAATGCCTCCATAAGATTGGCCAGTGGACAGGCCTATGAGGCATTTTTAAAATTAGTGATTGAGGGGAGGGTCCAGCCTATTGTGGGTCCTGAATTCTATAAGAAAGCAAGTTGAGTAAGCCATGAGGAGCAAACCAGTAAGCAGCACCCCTCCATGGCCTCTGCTTCAGCTCCTGCCTCCCAGTTCTTGCCCCCTTGGAGTTCTTGTCCTGACTTCCTTTGATGATGAACTGTGACATGGAAGCGTGAGCAGAATAAATCCTTTCCTCCCCAAGTTACTTTGCTTGTAGTGTTTCATGACAGCAATAGTAACCCTAACTAAGACAGGATTCAACAGAGAATTTTGGGAGAGAATTACAGAGAGGGAAGAAAGCCAACTCTTCAGGTTTACTCTTCATTTCTGTTGTCAAAAGACAACAGTGGTGAAGAGACCAGAGAGATGGCTCAGAGGTTAAGAGCTCACATCCTCTTAAAGGACCTGGGTTTAACTCTCAGCACCCACATGGCAACTCCCAATGGTTTGTAACTCCAGTTCCAGGGAATCCTACACCATTTTCTGACCTCCATGGGCTCAAGGCACTCAAACTGGGGAGGAGATGGTTTGTTTGGCTACAGTTACTGGCCATCATTTCAGGGAAGTCAAGCACCTCCCACCCATAGTCAAGAGCAAAGAGACAATAAACACACCCTTGCCTTCTTGCAACTCAGTGAGCTTCCTCTACTCCTATAGGATTCCGAATTCAGCCCATAAAAAGGTGTCACCCACATTCAATGAGGGTCTTCACACCTCAGTTAAGCGGGATAACTCCTAGCCTATTTTGTTTCATGTTTTATTTACACTTATGTGTTTGGTGTGTTTGTGTCTTGATGAGAGCATGGGGTTAGAAGACAACTCAAAGGAGTTTGTTCTCTCCTACAATGAAGGTTCTCAGAGTCACACCCCCATCAGCAAGTGCTTTACTCACAGAACTGTCTCAAGGCTCTCCCACCCACATATAATCTTTTAATGGGAAAAATAATCAAATGATTTCTTGATTTCTGAAGAGAATGGCTGAGTGGGGGAGGGGGTTTACTAATAACAGTGATACTTTATTTCTCATGTTTCCTGACAAATTTCCACTTGTCTATGCTTTATAGATGCTTCACTCGAAGTATAAAGGGAAGTTTTGGGTTTTCTTTCAATGGTGAAGCAGAGGACTAGAAAATCCTAATGAGTATGCAACCCGAGTTCCATAGAGAAATCAAGGGCATGCTTTTCATTTGCTGATTATTTCCCCAAAAGCTGGAACATAAACCAGCTGACTTACCTAACCATACAAATGAAAAAGTATGCATGCAGGAGAATTGCAAAGGATGTATTTGTACTGAAAAGTCAGCAAAGTCCAAAATGATTACCTGTAATCTCTCTCTCTCTCTCTCTCTCTCTCTCTCTCTTCCCCCCCCCCCAGTTTTTCTTCAAGACAGGGTTTTTTCGTGTAGCCCTGGCCATCCTAGAGCTTACTCTGTAGAGCAGGCTGGCCTCTAACTCAGAGATCCACCTGCCTCCACCTCCCAGGGATTGATTAAAGGTGTATGCTACCACAGCCTAACATGCTGCAAACTCTTAATATTTTTTTCCAGGAAAAAAAATGAGTATGTTTCTTGTCTACAGATAAACTCTGTTTAAACATTAGCAATCCTCTGAGAGCACCAGGCTGGCAGCATTTTGCAAATAGAGGACATTCTAAAGATACTTGTGAAATGAAATCCATTGATCCCTTTCCTTTCTCCTGATCCTTGCATTGATATAGAAAATTCTAGTTGCTATGGGCACAGTGTTACAGAGTCAGAAGTCTCCCAGCTCCATCTGCTTTGAGATAAGGAGTAAGGCCTACGAGACCTCAGCTCACACTGGAGCTTATTTGCTTGATGCACGCTTGACTCCAAATGTGTCCACTTAGAACAGCTCTCATCACCTCATGTGATCACCGTTGACCAGAAGTGGGTCAAAGAAACAGCTAAAACAGAGATGTGTTGTGGCCAGTTCTCTGAAGTGTGTATTTGCAATAAGAACCCATTTCCATCCTCCTTCTCTCAACCGTTTTCATCATTTTCTCTTGCAGTGAAATCACAGACAATCCTTATATGACTTCAGTCCCTGAAAATGCCTTTCAGGGACTGTGCAATGAAACCTTGACCCTGTAAGTATTTCCAGTTTCACTCTTGCCAGTACCTGAATTTTAATCTAAGGCTACTATCATGGTTTTCCCAGCTAAAAATGTGTCTGAGTTTTACAGAAACATGCCACCTTATGGTGTATGCTCTGCATCTGGAAAGGTTTAGTATAACTGAGTGTTACCTTGTGATGTGATATTCTACAGACCACACACAGAGTGAGTTAATAACAACTACATATTCTCTATGGCAGAAGTTGGTCATTTGTTCCAAGAAGGGCCAAGTAGGCTACGCACATTGCACTGTCTCATATCAACTGCCACCGCAAAGCAAAAGCAGACAAACAGATACGTAAGTCAGGGGGCAAGTTTCCATGTCACAATTAAGTCCCTTTATAGACACAGATTGTGGATCGGATTTGGCCTGTAGGCTTTATGGTACATTGTCCTATATCCAACTAACCCCATTCTATACAGGAAGAAGCTCCATGGAGCAAATGTGACTTTCACAGAGTAGTGCCACTGAGGGCTTTTCATATTCTGTAATTACACTTTCGCTCAGGGATCACAAACTATGATATAGTGTCTGTAATTGCTTGTTCAGTAGAAAACAGTGCTTTGGTTCAGAACATGGCCTGCTCTTTGGTTGTCCAAAAGTAGACGCTGAAGGATGGGGATGTAGCTCTGTTAGAATAGTGTTGGCCCAGCATGCACAAAGCCCTGGGTTCCACCACCAGCACCTGATAAACTGGACATGGTGGCACATGCCTGAAATCACAGGGAAGTGGAGGCAGAGAAAACAGAGGTTCAAGATCATCCTTGGTTTTATGGAATCTTCCAGACCCTGCTTCAAAACACAGAAATAAACTGAAGTGAATGTTAAATCAAGGTTAGCAATAAAACGTTCTAATAGAAGAGACCTACTGAGAGAAGACAAGTTAGTTCTTATAAATTTCTTCTTTCTTAGTGTTAGCCTCAAAGTAGAGTTAGGGATACGTCTACAGAACCCTCTCCCTGTTTTCCACACACTACACCCCACTCAATGCTACTGGGTTTTTTTGTTTGTTTTGTTTGGTTGGTTGGTCTTGTGTTTAATCTATATAGCCACCTGAGTTCTCTACTGCAGTCACATTACCATCTGGAGTATTTGTTGGATGTATATCTGATTCATTTACTCCTTAGCCAAGTTGATCCAAGTTTCCACTCAGCTTTTCACAGGGACCCTCCTTTCCAAGCCACTAGAAAACAGGGGTGGTAACATTTCACACTAGCTCCTGGGAATCAAGGTTTAAAAAAAAAATAGCTGCAAAAACACAGCATGTTAAAACATTCAAATATTACCTAAAAGGGGTGTGATCTGTCTATCTATCCCCTTAGCTTCATCTATGGGGATCAATTTAATTCCACCTATAACCGCTAAGCATTTGATTTGTGATAAGCTTTGAGGACAAGTAGGGTTTTAATTTTTTGTTTGTTTGCTTGTTTGTTTTTGAGAAAGAAGGTGAAATATGCTTTAATTTTAAAATAACAATCTATGCATTCAGATGAATGTCTTCTCAAGCAGCCATCTGAAGAAACTGCTGCTGACATGAGCTTAACTGACATCTGAAACCCTTTCCCCTTAATATGTCCACTTATTTTTTTTAAAAATCCTAGGGTCTGGAGAGATGGCTCAGCAGTTAACAGTGCTTCCTGATCACAGAGGACCTGAGTTAGACTCCTAGCACCCATATTGGATAGCTCACAACTGTCTGTAACTCAGCTCCAGGAGATACAGTGCCCTCTCCTGGCCTGCATGGACACCTGCACACACACACACACACACACACACACACACACACACACACACACACACACACACACACCTAAAAAATGAAAAAAGACAAGTGGACATTGGGAGTCCACTCTTCATGGAGGGCTACTCTCTCAGCCTAGACATGCTGGGGAGGGCCTAGGCCCTCCAAATGATATGACAGACAGATTTTGGCTGATCCCCCATGGAAGGCCTCACCCTTTCTATGGAGCAGAAGAGGGATGGGATGGAGGTTGGTGGGGGCATGGGAGAATGGGAAGGAGAAGGAACTGGGATTGATATATAAAATAAGATTTTTTCTACTTTAAATTTTAAAAAGAAAAAAAACAAAGGGAAAAAAAAAAAAAAAAAAAACTCCTTTGCAAACCTTTGTTCTTCAAAGTGAGTCAGCTTCTGAAGCAGGGCTGACTCACTGGCTCCTAAGCCTGGAGAATGGAGTTTCAAATCAGAAACATTTTGGGAATGCATATGGATGATAAGTGCAATTTTATTCACATTTCTGATACTAAAGAGGTGAAGCCCAACTGTTTAAAAAAGGAACAACACATATCCCATAAGCCATCTGCTTTGTTTACTTATTTATTCAGTTCTGGGGGATCAGCGGCCCAGAGCCTTTCACATGCTAGGTGAGCATTCTTCCACTGAGCTACATGCCCATTGATTTTTCTCTCTTTCTCTCTCTCTTTCACCTGATTTTAGGAAACTATACAACAATGGATTTACTTCAATTCAAGGTCATGCTTTCAATGGAACAAAACTGGATGCTGTGTAAGTTTAGGGTAACCATGGAAATTGCCACCATTCCCCACATCTCACTCCCAGAAGGACTATCCAGAGGGTCAGAATTCTGCTGAGATCTATTTTAAGCACCTCACACCTTGAAAGTAATGCTAAAGGAACTTGACAGGGGCCATCTGAAGTGGACACTTAATGTTGGTCCCAGTTCTAAATCCTAAAGCTCTCATTCTCAATAAAATGGAGACATATGCTGTCACCATCCTTTATCTTTATAGGGGTAGGGGTGTGTGTGGGTGTGGGGGTGTGGGTGTAGCCTTTCGCAAGCATGTGTGCATGCACAAATATTCATCTGCTATTACATAAAGTAAAAGAGTATTGTTGCACCCAAAGATGTTTTGAAAAAAACTGCTCAATCTGTTTTGACATGCTTTTCCCAAAACAAACAAACAAACAAACAAACAAAAACAAACCAGATTTACATTTTATCTGTCTTGCAATACTTTTTGTTT